CTCATGAATATGTTGATTTTCTATACTTTAACATGAACTCTATACTTTTCTTATGAAAATTATGAATAATTATTAAGGAAATATGGCTATGGTACCTAGGGAACTACCCTAGGATCTATATTTTCTAAATAAAAAAGTCCATCGCCTAGGCGACAAGGCGCCCCCCGACGCCCAGCCTCGCCTTGGCACCTTGAAAACTATGCTTGACAGATTTTTGATGACGACAAATTGGGAAGAGAATTTTCCTAACTTGTTTCAGGAGATTAGACCTTGGTGCGCTTTGGACCAATGGCCAGTCACTTTGCAAACAGCAATTATAAGAAGGGAGATTTCCCCTTTTAGGTTGGACAAGGTTTGGACCTTTCACAAGGACTTTCAGTCAAAAGTGGCTCAGTGGTGGGAGTGTAAGATAGAAGGATGAGCTAGTTTTTGCTTCTTGCAGAAGCTGAAGTATTTGAATACGAAATTAAAGACTTGGGGCAGGGAAGAATTTAAACCCTTTGTGGAAGAAAAATAACACTTTAATTCGAGAGCTGGAAGAGCTAGATTTCAAGGAGCAGAATGGGATATTGGATGGATAAGGTAGAAGAAAGAGGGAGGCCCTGAGGAAGGTTGGGAAAAGATTATCAGGAGGGAAGGAAGTGTATTAGAGGCAGAGATCCATAGTAAGATGGTTGATGGAAAGAGATAATAATACAAGATTTTTTCACAGCTACGCTTCAGGAAGGCAGAGAAAAAATTACATCCCTAATCTGAAGGTGGGTCAAAGAGAAGTGGAGGCTCAAGAGGAGATTGCAGAGACCATTATAAGTTTTTTAAGGAGCTGTATACAAAGGACAGCAGTAGGAGTTTCTTCAAAGAGAACACTTGGGATGGCCTTATTTTGTCAGAGGTAAAGAAGGCTTGGCCGGAGAGAAACTTTGATGTGCAGGAAGTCAAGGAGTCTGTATTCAGTATGGATGAAGACAGGGCCCCTGGGCCGGATGGTTTTTCCCATGTTCTTCTACCAAGTTTGTTGGGAAACAATATAGCCTAACTTATTGGAAGTGTTCAAAGAGCTCTTTAACTCAGCCATTTTTAATAAAGGACGCAACTCAACTTTTATTACCTTAATTCCAAAAAAGGAAGGCTCATTGGAAGTTAAGGACTTTAGGCCGATCAGTTTGGTTGGAAGTACTTATAAAATATTGGCCAAGGTTTTGGCAAGAAGGCTGAGAGAAGTGATGATAGACTTAATTTCTAGCAACCAATTTGCGTTTGTGAAGGATAGACAGATTACTGATAGTACTCTAATGGCCAATAAATGCCTTGAAGATTGAAAACAAAGAGGTAAATCAGGTGTAGTAGTTAAACTTGACTTGGAAAAAGCGTATGAAAAAGTTGATTGGGATTGCATTCTAAATATTTTGGAAATAAGAAAAACTTTGGAAGCAAATCAGTGCGATGGATAAAAGGTTATATCAGATCTGCTTAGTTCTTGATGTTATTAAATGGAGAGCCTAAAGGCTTCTTTCAGGCTAGCAGGGATCTCAAGCAAGGTTGCCCTCTCTCCCCTTCCTATTCACTTTGGTAGCTGATATCCTAAGCCATTTTATTGAGAAAGCAAAGGGTCTGGACCTGCTGAAAGGCTTTGAAGTTGGAAGGGAAACCACTCATCTGACCCATTCATTATTTGCTAACAACATCATATTATTCTTGGAGGCTGATCTAGAAATTACCAACAACTTGAAAAGGGTAATCACCTGTTTCAAGATGGTATCAGGTCTTTAGGTAAACTTCTCTAAGAGCAACATTGTGGGAGTGAGCATAAGTGACAACGTTGTGTTGAAGTTCAAGAAGGTGTTAGGTTGCAAAGTGGAGAAGTTCCCCATTTTCTACTTGGGGATGCCCCTTTGAGGGTGTTGGAATAATGTTAAAATAACTTAGTTGCAGATGTTAGGGCCTGTTTGGCTAATTAAAGTGTTTTTTATTTCGTTTTTTATTTCTGTTATGTCTGTTATTTCTGTTATTTCTGTCGCCCTATATATAGTAAAATAAACACTGGCGCCGCCAGTACTGTTACATTGCAAACCTTCTCTCTTTTCTCCTCTCTTCTCTTCTCTTCTCTTCTTCTCTTCTCTTCTCTTCTCTTCTCTTCTCTCCTCTCCCACTTATCTCTGGCCGGCTACACTGTCAAGATGGTATCAGAGCGGGAATGCTGATTAAAAGAGCAGATCGATCAACCCTACTGTCAAGAGAAGATCGACCAACCCAAAGAACAGATCGAACAGACTAGCAGAAAGGAAATCTGATTCTTGACTACAGAATAGCTACGACTGGTACAGTTCTCCCTATTTTTTCTCTTCTTTACTCTCCTTGGTCATGTGCCGAGTGAAAACCCTATGAATCTGGGGC